CATTTCCACTCTTTTTATGATTCTTTAATGCAGTACTCATTAGAATATACATACTAGCTTGAATAATAGCTTGAATAATAGAGAGAGAGAGTGAGAGAGAGCGCACACGTATTGCAAGAGATCCCATGTAGACCCCCAAAGAGAGTTCTGCTCACAGAGCTATTGCACTGCTGGAGATCTTTGGCTTTCAGCCTTTGAGCTCTGTGCGTACACAAGTCCAGAGCGACTATCTTCTTTGCAGGACTGAGCTATTCATATCTGAGTCCGATCAGGATCAAGAAACATTAGTTCTTGCTCCCCTTTCTTTTCAAATGTGTGATGTGAAAGAGGAGCCATCCCCATGTTTCAAGATCAGCTAGGCTTTAGGTAGGGTCAGAGAACATCTAGAAGGTTGGGCCCTTTCAAACAACAAGAAGTACTGATGTTTATTGACCTTGATCAGGTGTGAACAGCTCAGTCCTACAACGAAGCTGGTCCTTCTGGACGTGTCCACGTGCAGAACCCTAAGGCTGAAGCAGCGCTTAAGCAGAACATGACTCTTCAGGAGTGCAGTTTTGGATTCAGGGCCCTCACACGTAAAAATCTCTAAATCACACGTAAATTTGGCCTTGAAATGCTTGCCCTCAGTAAGGCAAGAGAAGGGAACTTGGAGCTTCAAGCCTAGATCTTCTTTATTCTTGTTGATAAGCTTTGTATGGACTATTGTCTTCTAGTAACCTTGACTCATAGAGGGGAACACGAGACTATTAGAAGCTCAAAAAGCTCTTCAGCTCAACCGATACATCCTGGCAAGTGGAAAAGAAACAGGGGTTTAATTGTAATCTCCATCTCTATGTGAGATTTATAAAAGAATTGAGGGACCTAGACTCCACCTGCTATTGTGGAGAAGCCCTTCACAGCCCCATACTCTAAGAATCTTCAAAACACAGCTTGTTAAATAAAACAGCTTAGAAACAGGCACAAAACAGCCACTCATGGAGTCTATTTTTATATTGCCTTGCAGGTCAATTCTTGAACGATGAAGTTAAACTTCTTCAGGAATCTTTAAACATGAGTCAGCAGCAGTCTGGTCAGAACAAAACTGAAGCATTAAAGTCAAACCCTACAAATACTCTGAAAGTGAAGGGACGTCTTGTTCCTGTTGTATGGAAACAGAGGAGGATCTACAATGGCCAGCAAGAAGTTGACTGCTGGTTTGCCAAAAACAACGCGGACAAACTGATTGATGGGAGCTATAGAGACTATTTGGCTTCTCATCCTTTCGACACAGGAACCAGCTTTGGGATGATTTAATAGCCTTTAAGATCGATCATAGTAGCAGCATATGTGACAGTGGGTCCCTTCTGAAGCCTCTAGAGCTAGGCAGCTTCTGAATATTTCTTTATTTTTGGGTGCCGAAGAAACCAAGGCTTTTCCCCTTGGAAATCAGCTGTCTTTTTTTCATCCTAGATGAACATGGATCATCAGGTTCCTGAAGACAAGGGGAGGGGGAAAGGATTAAGGACACGATTAAAGGCATAATCAGTGCTCTCCCAGGGGGGGTGGGAGGGAGAAAGGGGCCAGCACTCATATCTAACAGTGCAGAGAACTCCTGGCCTTAAAATAAACCCATGCAGGGGTCTGTGCAATACCCCGGTGGCTGATGAGTCACCCAGTGTAAGGCAGAAATCAGACAGCATGGTGCCTATCTAAAGAGGCAACCTTGAGTGATACACTTTGCAAATATGTGACTTGGAGCACCCCATTCAGCCATTTTTCCTGGGGAAAGAAAAGAAAGAGAGAGAGAGGAGAAGAGAGATAGGTGGATATTCATCCACAGAGACCCATTAGCATCAAAGAGGTAACACAGAAATTGAAACCTTAAGTCAAAAAACCTCAAGCAGGTATTGCTTTCTTGGTCATTGGGATGGGGCCTGCATTGGCCAGTAGGACAGTGTTTCTAAACTACTACAGACTCACTACTCAGTGGTGAAAACCTTCACGTGGTTTATTGCTGCCTCAGAGTACAGGCCTTGTGTTTAAAAAGCACCGCTGGACTTCAGCACTAACAGGAGTGGTGTCTGTTCCCATTCCATGAAATATCTCCTCTAAATAACTTTTCAGGCTCAGTGTTTTAAACTAGACTTTTTTTTCTCCTCAGAGTCCCCTCCGCTGTAAGCTGCCACCTCCTTGAGCGAAGCATCAGTTCTGCTAAGCAGAGATTTAAATACTCTAGAGGATGATGAGCCATGACCCTTGAGAGCTTATATCCCCACAAAACAGAGCCTGACTTGAATTCAGACTAGACTTTCCGAAATGCTTTTCTAATCAGGGAGGAAGTCTTTATTTACTCCAAATCTTCAGAAGTTTTTCACCCCCATCTCCCTGGCTGCTGCTTTTTCCTTACACTGCAGGAATTTGTACGCTGCAGGAATTTGGCAACCACGAAGTTAGGAAAGGGCCTGCCAGCCACCCCCACAGCAGGTGGTGCTGCTCTGCAAAGAAATCTCCAAACCCAAATGGCAAGCCTAGGGTCTATTTTAAAATGAGGCACCACTGCATAATGCTATACATCAGCCACAGGGGAGTTCGCTTAGTAGAGAAGTCAGCCAATGAAGACTTCAGAAACCACAAAGGCATTTACATGGCGAGGCCAAACTGAGCTCGTGTATACTCTGCCGTTCCAGGACTGAAAGGAGGAGGGTCATGGTGGGGAAGTATCTCCAGCAGCTAAATTATATCCACGTGTGAGGAGAGAAACAAGTTGCCAGAGACCTACAGAAATAGGTTCCCTTGTCACTGATTTTTTTGCCCATTTAAAAACTAAATCATGTTCTTGCTGCAAGAGGTCCATCTGCTGGAGCGTGAGCTGTTTCCCAGCTACCTGACTATCTAGTTAGCAGCACTAGCACTGTGACAGCAGAGCAGGTAGCTAGCATGGTTGCTTATTCACACCATGCCTTGTGGGGAAGAGGGAAACGGCCAAAAGCAAACAGCTACATTTAATTGTGCTCTGGAAGGTCCTTAGAGAAAGCTCAGCCGGCACAAAACTCATGCCAAGGCTTGTGCTTTGGAATGAAACATGAAGCCAAACCACTGCTTTGGGCCCAGCTATCTTAGGAAACAGCCTTCCTGTAAGGGAGAACAGAAGGCAAGACCGGCAGCATAATCCTGAGCACGCGATAACCGAAGAGGCTAAGGTTTAATCAACATGCTCATGAGCCAGGAATGAGATAAAACAGAACTTCTGTGAAGTTGACTCCTCCTCCCAAGAGCATGGTGGTAAGATCACCCAACCCCTTCCCAAATAATCTCCTATTTCATTAGCACAGG